ATAACCTGAGTGGTATATATAATTTTTGGAAATGAATATAAATGTGCATATTAATATTTTAAATTATAGAATATATTTTATTGTTTATTATTGATTGATGATATTAGATATCTCTGATTGTTGTTTATTAAAAGATTAAAAGAATAATTCTTTCAATTTAGATTTTGAGGCATCAAGTGGGCATCCATAAAATGAACTAATGCCACAGCGTGAAAGGGTTTCTTGTGCTGGGGCACTTGTTGACATGGACCCATTATTTAATGAAACGATACAGCGCTTCACTGACAAATCATGGCCTGAATATTTATAAATATAGCACCGTGGTGCTGCTAACGGTTGAGTGCTACAACATCCACGTAACACTCCATTGACTTAGCAGCGCTATAATTTGGCATTATGAAAGTATGTAGATAGACACTGGACTTTGCGACATTGACTCATGACATTGTGATAGTTGGCTAGGCTTTGCGACGTTGATTCCTTCAATGTTGTGGCACAGTCAAATAGAGGTCAGACATTTCCATGTCCATATTTTGGTGCGTTGGCAGTGTCAATGATGGCATTATAACGATATTATGTTGGATGTCGTGGCACTGTACCATACTTGAAAATTTTGTCAATTTCTTATATTTTTTATACAAACATAACTAAAATAATATATTTTCACTGATAATTTAAAACTTAAAATATAACATTATTTACACTTATCAACTATTTTATTTGGAGTAAAATTTGTGTAATGTATTTTAAATGCAAGGATTTTGATAATATTGGTATTTGGTTTGAAGTAAAATGAATTTAATGTAAAAAATTTATGTATTTTGAATCCATCTTGTACAAATTTGGTGTATTTAGAAGTCATATGATTTGAGCAATTTTCAAATAAGCCATAAATTAATGACCCTTATCTCCTTCACCGTTGTTGTCACTAATCACCACCGTTGCTAGCTACTATCACCATCCAACTCCAATCATTGTCGCAACCGATCGAACAACCCCTTAGAGATTTTTAATATTTGAGAAAATAAAAGAATTAATTTTTTTGTTAATATTGATTACATTAAGCACATATTCTTTTTTGTTTCTTTTTTATTTGTGCTACTTAGTTTAGATTACTAGTGTGATGAGTGTTTGATGACATTATGTTAAACAAACTAGTTTGCACTAAAGATAATAAGGGGTTTTAATGTAGTGTGACAAATTGTTATGTGCTCGATGTGAAAAAAAGAAAAGAAAAGAAAAGATTAACTTATCCTTTTAGCATGTGGTTGGACAGGATTAGCCTTTCATATCCTTTGGACTACTTCTCAATCGCTAATGTTCTCTATCATTTTCTTCTCTTCTAGGCTAATGTTCGTACTCCTTAAGGTTATTCTATCTTATTCCTTATGTTAGCCCTTTCTTATTGTTTAGATTAGTTCTCTTTCACTTGTAGGTTAGCGCTCCCTTCCCTCATGTTTTCCTCCAAAGTCTATAAAGTCTTCTCAGACCAAGCAACCCCTATTTGTTGATAATAATCTTTATGATCAAGTTGGGTTGATTATCTCCTTCAACTAAGTAAAATAGGAAATCTAAACGGCGGAGCCATAAAATATTGATTAGGCACATCTCAACAACTTATATTAACTTATTTGGTTTGTTGCCTTATCTTTCATAGCTGTTTCTATTGTTTTGAGATATTTCCTCCTTTTAAGCCCTTTGAGTTATATTTTTGACTCTCATAATGATAACAAACACATCATTTGGTTTATCATGCCATAGGCCCATTTTTCATTTGCTTCATAAGTAGTTTTACATTTTTTTGACTTGCATGAATGTAATTGATCTTGAAAATCATTACATCGAATGTTTGAACATTGACAAAGGCATGATAGAATTCTTATACATGACCAGTAAGCTCCATATTGCTCTTTGATTAGACCATAATAGTCTCATCACATCATAATCATCTCTACTTGAATCTTGAATAGAGGCATTGTCCACTATCTTGCTTGCTTCTTCTTAGCGTGCTCTAACTAAGCCAGTGATGATGGGAAATGCTCTTATGTCTACATTTATATATAAAGTGAGTTAATGTTGACAAATAAGGGAATCAAGAGCATGAAGTATCATTACAGATGGATAAAGTAGTGTAGAACTATTAACATCTAATGAAGAAATCCATCAACATTAAATACTAGATGCATATTAATAAATTAAATGTGATTATCATAAAAACCCTTTAACATCTAAGTTAAAATCCATACAAATTGTTTACTAATCTAAGTTAATGGCATTTAATTTAATTGTGTCATATTCAAACAATTCCCATACTGTAATATCTACATTCAGAGGTGATATGTCACCAAAAATCGCCTTGATCGAGCATGAATCTCGAGGAATCTTCAAGTTGCAAACTTCTAAAATTAAATGCAGGATCATCTAAACTCCAATTTCAACAAATTTATAATCAAATTGAGTGTCTGTGAGACGCACCCAACGACATCAAAAATTGATCCAATCCGAGCCCAAATGGGCCCAAATCAAGGGTCTGAAGCCTATTTAGAAGCTTCCAAGTATAAATTAGATGATCAAATAATCTCCAAATATAACATTCTTATAGGAAAATTGAGTGGCCCAAAGAAATGAATCCAATGAGCCCAAGATCACTTAATTTTTACATTATTAAGACACTTAATTGATGCATGAACACTCTATGATTGAAGAAATCGATATGGGAAGTTAGATGAAGCACTCCAAGTTTTTTCTTGATCTTCTCCATATTTATAGATCATGCTGTTATAAAAAATCTAGAAATAGACCATCACTTCCGACTTAAAAAGGGGGCGTGGACTTTGGAGGTTTAGACCTTGGGCTAGAGATTCAAGAGAGCTATGAGGCTTGAAGAATCTCGGAGCTCCAACCCAGGACCACCGCCAGTGAACCCTTGCCACTAGGCTGCCGCTGTTGGACCGCTGCCTGACTGTCGCCATTATACCTTCCCCTAGTAGCCACAATTGGACCTTCGTTTAACCACCATTGCCCACCGATAATGATCCCTCTGACATCCATCACCCACCATGTAATAATCGTCCCTCCGACCAATATCGCCCGCCAACTATGACATCTTTGACCTCTATCGCCCGTTGACTACAATCTCTCTTACTACAACCGCCCAACTAAGGTCCCTTCATCTTCCATCACTTATCAACTATGATCCATCCAACCCCTGTCACCTGCCGACTATAGTCCCTCTGACCTAAGTCCCTTGCCAAGTACGGTCCCTTCGTCCTATGTCACCCATTGACTACAGTCCCTCCGACCATCGTCGCCTAACTATGGTTTGCCCAACCTCCTGCACTTGCTAACTATGATCCTTTAATCTCTATCGCCCAAATACAATCCTCTCATTCAAATGAAAATACCAACACTCTCTTGAAAATAATTCTCATGGCATTGTATTCATTCACCTAAACCATATAAAATACTTCATATGATGCATATTTACTGCATTGAGCCAACGCCTTCCCTCAAGAAAGAACATCATTTGTAATTAACAACAAACTCTAGTGGATTCATTTCAATTGGGCAATGCCCTATGATTTTTCTCCCTTTTTAGGATTTTTCATGAAAAATTATGGTGTTTCTTATAACTCTTACATTGCTATCTCTTTTACTGTATGCATGCTGGATCTTCGTTCAAAGCTAAGATGCTAAGCATGCCATCTCTCTACTGTCGTGAATATTCCAGGATGCAATAAGAGGAACGTTCATTTTAAATGTAAATGATAAATAACAAATACAACTTCTACTCTCTGAACATACTTGGAAAAAAATCATTGATGTTGGTACTGACTAAAAAATTTAGCTTAAAAAGAGCAACAACAAAATATAAGTTGTATTATACAACTAAAAAAAATTTAAACTTTCATTTGATGGTGCACTTTTACAAGCATTTGATTTAAACAGTGACTACTAGCAAATTTTAAGGTTGCTTAGACTTTAGAGAGAAGAAATGTTGAAGAAGAGCTTTATAAAAAGGTTTACAAAATTGAGAAATTTTTTAAGAAAACAAAAGAGAGAGTTTGATGGGGCTTTTTAAGAGGAGGGGAGGATCTTATGAGATGAGAAGGATGGAGTTGTCTAATCATTTAGCACAAAGAGCTTTAGACTTTAGCCGAGTTATCATTAGGTGATTAGGGTGTTATGTAGACACCTTTTTACCAGTATAACGTCTAATTGCCTTTTTATCAAACAACTTATTACATTGCAAACTTTTTCTAAAATACTACTTACATAAAATAGGAGATTTATGAGTTCCTTCTTAATGTTTCTTCTTTGTGATTAGGCCACTCATATAACTCATTTGTTTTCATAGAAAAGATGTTTCAACATATAGAGCCACAAGCTTTCATGCGTCTCATTATCATAATTAATGGGACAAACCCTATCAGAATTGTAAAATAAGGCAATCGCTCATAATTAGAGATAGATTTTTATCATAGATCTAGGTAGAATTGAACAAAACAAAACGAGTCATGAGCAAAAGTTTTTGATTTGATTTAGGTTTCATTTGCAATGTCTTTTTACTATTTTTTAAAGCAGTTTTATAGTAAAAAAATTAAATTTTATACTAAAAAATTGTTTCGAGAAGTAGTAAAAAAGTCGTCCAAAATGAAACCTTAATCTTCAAGATGATTTTGAGTTGGGTCTAAGGCTTCATTTATGACGGCTTTTTAACTACTTCTTAAAGCAGCTTCTAGTATAAAATTTTTAAATTAAAATATAAATTATATATATAATATAAATTTCAGACCAATTCAATATCAAAATTAAAAAATATAGTGAATGAGTTAATTTGAAGTCACTTACTTTAATTCATGCCGATTTGAGTAAGAAATAAATAAACCTGCCAAAAATCGAATCGGTATCACCCAAAGGAGCGAGGGGTAAATCAAAATGGAATCCTCCTTCCGGTCCTGTATATAAACTGAATGCCGAGAGGAGGGCAAAATAGAGAAAAGGCTCAAAACTTTTGGGTGTGGAGGGAAAGATCCTTTTTTTAGTCCACTCCTCTTGGTCTTCAGCGAGCGGGCGGGCGAAGGAACGAAAGCAGCGCGAGGCCAAATTCTCCGCGGGGACTCGTCACTTGGAGCGCCAACTGCAGTGTTCCTTTTTGTGAGTTGGCTTTTCCTTTGGCCGGATGTTGCATATGTTGAAAAGTTTTAGGGTTTTTGGTTCAAATTTTGGTTTTTACGCGTGGTTTTTGAGCTCGTGGGAGGTGGGAGTTAGGGTTTGGGAAGTACTAGGGAGTTGCCCTATTTCCTCCTGGTTGAATTGTTTGGTTCGGTGCAATCTCTGTCTCCGCGTCTTCTGTATTTTGTTTGTTGTCAGGACTGTCCTAGGGATCTGCTTTTATGCCTTGGATCGACTCCAAGCTTCTTTTTCGAGCGCTAAATGTGGAGTCTTGAGGTTCTTTGCTTGTTATTCTCGTTGTAGTGGAAGAATTGACTCTTCAAATGTTACAAAAATGTCATCTTTATGCTTGTTATAATTCGAGTTGCTTTCTAATCAACTTTTAGGGTTTGCGATTTAATAGTTTGATTAGCCAGCGTTTAACCTGTTAAAAGTTCAATCTTGTGGAGTGACTGATGGAGTAGCCAACGCTGTGCACTGTTGGGTGCAATGCTTTTTAATTTCTATATTCAGTATTGGTTTTTCTATTGCCTTTGCGTTGACTAGTTTTCCTTTGATTTATGATTGGCTTGTTGTTTAAAATCCTTGCGTTGACATGTAGTTGTATTTACTTTTGTCTTTGTCATTCCAGGTATAGATCTTAGAAGAAGCCTTCTTAAATTGCTGCCTTTGTTTTTGGTTTCTTCATCAAGGTTTTTTCAGTAACTGTATTTACTGGAATGGCTGATTCCACGGCACCATCTGATTCAAAAGAAGCTTCACTGGAAAATGGTTTTGATCCGCCTGATGTTCCTTCTACAAAGGTTTCAACTGAAAGCAAAGATGGGGACGGAGATGGGAGTGGGACAAGCAAGGAGGATGTAGAGGAGAAGAAGAGTGCTGAAGAAGTGACAGGAGTGGTAAACGTAGAGAAAGGACTTGAGTATTTGAAGGATGGGGTGGATACCAAGGATGTGGAGGAAGTTAAGGATACGGAAAATGAGAAGAGTGTAGAAATAAATGACAATGTCAATGAAAAGATTAACCTAGTGAACACTAAGGATGGTGAAGAGAAGCAGGATGAGAGGGGCATAAAAGATTTAGAGGACAACAAGCATGGGGAGGTAAAGACGAATGCAGCGGTAACTACGGAAGAAAATGTAAAGAAAGGTGTTGGGGAGACTAAGTATCTCGAGGGAAATAATGATGAAAATCAAGCCAAGGATGGGGAGGAAAAGAAGGATGTAGCTGAAGCAAATGCAATGGAGGGAAAAAATATTGGGGAGGCAACACATTCGAAGGGAGAAAAGGGTGCAAAGGAAGCCAAGGAAGGTGATATAAATAATGATGCTGTGAAGACTTTGGATGGGGAGGAAGAAAAGGGTTTTGTGGGAAGTAAGAATGAAGAGGGGAAGAAGGTTGTTGAAGAAACTAAGCATGATGACGATGAAATTGTTGTGGAAGAAGGCATGAATGCTGAAGTGACGGAAGACACCGGAGGTAAAAATAATCTGCAAGCTTTGGGTAATGTGAAAGATAATATTGAGAAGAATTATGTTAGTGATGTCAAAGGCACTGAGAAAAAGCAGGCTGCAGAAGGTAAGGTTCACAAAGATGACGTCGGGGTGGAACAATTGAAATATAGTAAAAAGGAGAAGGTTGCACAAGGGATTAATGATGATGAGCAGAAGAGAGATTTGGGTGGTGAAAATGATGTTAAAAATAAATCAAAACTAGCTGTAGGTCATGAGCGAGTCAAAGTCAAAAAGAAGCCCAAGGATATTGAGAAGGTGGAGGCTAAAGTTGGGAAAAATAAGGTTGCAGTTGATGAAAATGAGGAAACGGTTGTTAATAGAGGTTTGGAAGATGACAAAGATGATGTTGTCAAGGAAGTGCACATTTCTGAGGAAGAGGATGCTGCCGAGGATGGAGATGATGATGGTGATGTAGAAACAAAAAGCAGTAACAAGAAGTTGGCAAAGTCTTTCAAAAGGAAAAGGAGCAGGGGACAAAGATCTGCTAACAAAAGTGAAGTGAAGGACAAAAATAAAGCAAAGGGAAAGAAAGAAAGTGGAAAAAAAACTAAGGAGTTGATTAGTACTATTGATGCAGTGTCATCTCCATTGGGCTCTTCTAGGGAGCGTCCTGTGCGGGAGAGGAAAACTGTGGAGAGATTGGTTGAAGTTATTGAGAAAGAGCCCAATAAGGCTGTCGTCATAGAGAAGGTGCATGTTTTCCACCAGCCTTTTAATCATGTTAGAAACATACAATTGACTGTTGTGTTATGAATATTCAACATCCAACAATGTTCATTTGCAGGGTCGAGGAATTCCCTTGAAAGATATACCCAATGGTAACTTGCCTCACTTGCAACAATTTCCTATTGAATAATTTCTGTAATGTAATTTCTTTTGATTTACCTGGAATGCAATTTTGTTTGTCACGCATATTCTTTGGTCTCTATTCCTTGCCTCTCTACATATATATATTTACTTTATTAGGCTTCTATCTCTTCATGTTAGGAAAGATCCTATCTAGTTTGCTATTTATCATTTTATCAAATATACCATTGTGATCTATTTCTATATCTCAAATGTGTTTTTCTGTCTGCATAAAATGTTACTGAGTCTATTATGATATTGTTAACAAACCTTTAATGATTGTATGCAATATTATTGTGTATTCATGTTGGACGCTAGCATTACCATTTGTTTTTGTTTGTTGTTTTCACAATATCTGTTGATTATTTTTAGGTCAATTGCGTTCATGGGCTTCTTGTTTGTGATGATTATTTTATTTGAAAAGTTGATTTATAACTTAGGTTTATGTAGATACAACTGTTCTTAATTGAAACTGTGGCCAAATAAAGTCTTTCAGGGCTAAAATATGTGTCTGGTTTGCCACGTTAATGTCTACTATGAGGGCCAAAATCAGATCATAATCAGCTTTGTGCTGAATTTACTAGTCACTTGATGTTACTTTCATTCGGTTCTGTCATGCCATTATTTTTCATATTTTTTAGTAGCTCGTTTTTTCTCTACATCTTTTATCTATATTTATATTGACAGTGTGGCTAAATTCTGGAAACATCGGCTTTTTAAATGCTTTAAAATCTTATGTGGATCCAACACCTCCATGCGAATGTTTGGTTTTTTTTTTTTGGGATTTACATACACAGCACACTAATCTTATGTATTTACAAATCTAACACTTAAATTTTGATATTTACTTATTAGGCTATACATTAAAATTTATGCATTAAAAGATGTCTTTCATTTTTAAAATGTTAATAGCATTTTTACGTGATCCTTTTTATTTTAAAAATAATTAATATTTGTGGCATTTTTATGTGATTTAAAGTTTTGATTGTTATAGGAATAAATATATAAAATTTCAGGTGTTAGATATGTAAATATATAAGAATTGTGTGGCATGTATGTAAACACCACCCCCCTGCTGACTCTTGCTTTATACTTTTGACTTGATTTTGCTTTTTTTTTTTTAATAATTTGTGGTCGATTGATGCATGTATCACTTTACTTTCATTAGATTTTGTTCTTCTGAGAACTCAACACTTTTGTTTAGTTCCATTGAGTTTTGTAGAACGTGTTTGTCATTTTATGTACCTTTCACAAGAAACCTCATCGATTTATTTATTTTCTAAGTTGGATAGTCTGTCAGCGTTCCATTTGATAGATGAATATCAAGTTTGACAATTTTGTTTTCTTCATTAAATCTGCACGAGGAATGTAATCTTGTATACATTATATGGATTTGAGTCTGGTCCATTTTGTCGCTTTAACTGTGAGATCATCATTATCTATAAAAGTTAATATTGATGTGATCCGAAGTGCCGGATTTATTGGTAATTTACTTCCGGTAGCGTTTGTTTTGTACTACTTTTACTTTGGTGGTCAAGGATCGTGTAGACCTACAAGTTAAACAATGTAAGTTTTAAATGCAATAAAATAAATGCATTATTAATTAATTACTGTTGAATCATATCCATTAACACACTGTGTTTGATTTAACATCTCTGAAGATTTGCATTTGCATTAAAGAAAAGTGCAAAAAAACATACAACTATGTGTGGACTGTGCTATCACTATCCTCCCTCAAAGCATATTCTTAGATTTAACATCTGGGAGTAGGTTTTTCTAACTTAGGGACATGTAAAGTATTGCATTGCTAGATGTGTTTGCTAGAACTGCATGATTATTTTATTGTAAATTAGGATGAACTGTTGGTAATTGAGCTGTAGGGATAGTGGAAATATTATCATGTCATGAAGTTCTACTTGTTATATCCCATCATTCTTTCATGTACCTTTCTTTTTTAATTAAGCACTTAAAATTTACTTTATGCAATAAATAAATCATCATTGTTGGCCTTATTAAACTATTTAGGGTAAGTTTTATGAATTCTTATTCTTCATATAATTCCTATTTCCTATTGAATATATGAGGCGTTAAACTTTTTCTACACAGATCTAGTTGCACAATTCCTAGGTTGACCTCTTTCCTTTCTAATCTTTTTACATAATTTTATCTACTTACCTTGTGGGTTTGTTTTCTTCCACTTGTTGCACCACTCTAAATTCTAAGGACTCCAAAACACATAACTCTAATTTTCGCTATCTTTGAGGCTTTTGTTTAGAATAGCCTGTCTTGATTTTGATTCACTTCACCTTTATTTTAGTCTCTTTTCTTGGAACTGCATTCCTTTATTTTCAGAATACCCTTAATCAGGATCTAGCGCAATAAGTCTATCATGCAGCTTTTTCATTTTTTTATAATACCGTATGCTTGATTTTACCTGTTGTGTACCTTATTTATCCATTATATTCTAATCTTCCCCCAACCTCTTGATTAGTCTAGCAAGCTAGCTTCAAGCTATTATCTGTCGTTGGTCATAATGTAAAGTAGCCACTAATCAGTTGTTCCTCCCAGTCAAGGTGAAAGATTTTGTTGCATGAAGGACATGTGATTTTTTTTGGGGTTATATTAATTATATATTTACCAAATCTCAAAGAAAGGGTACAACAGAACATAATCCAAGTCTAATTTTTCATATGGTAGCAGTAATTCTATACTACTTATATATGGAAAATGATTAAATTAAGAAGCAATTCGGCACCCTTGTTTTATCTACTGCCTAATATCTGGGACTTCCTATGAATTAGGCTTCGTTTGGGATAGCTTTCAATTACAAAAATTTCAACTTTTGTACTAGAAAGCTGTTTTAAGAAGCAGTAAAAAAGCCGTCCCAAACGAAACCTTAATGTGTTAGAACTTTTTGGATGGAGGTCCTAACATTGACACATTATGGTGGGAGCCTTGGAGGTTAGCATATTCTTTGTAGATTTTTGTCGTTTATTTCTAAACTAATGTTTTTTGTGTGATTAGCCTCTTTACTAATCTTTTTTTGCTACTGAACTTTTGTTTTGTGTTGCTATGTCAGTGGCATATAAGTTAGCAAGAAGGAAGCCCGCTGATCTGAAATTCTTACATCAGACTCTTTTTGGAAGAAGAGGAAAGGTTGTGTGAGATTTTGACTTGCATTTTCTTGTTTGTTCTGCATAGCAACTAGAATTTCCATGTTAACCAAGCTGTTACAATTTCTTTTAGTTTATCTTTTTTTTTTTCACATATTTTCTTCTATTGTTTGTTCTTCAGTTGCTATTAAAGGTGGGTAAGTTGGTTTAAAGGGTTATATAGTTGTTATTGAATTACTTCCTACTGATATTTTACCATATTCTTTCTGTCTATGAATCATTTTCAGGTAGTTGATTTTAAAAGCAACATATTGCAGTTTTCTGGGTTTGCTTGGCATGAGACCGAGGTAAGGTTTCTCTCGAGCTTTATGAGTTGTGTTTCAACTCTTATAGGCTTTGCTTGAGTCTTGCCATTAAATTTTCTGTTCATCTGCTTTGATTTGTTTTGTGCAATCAATAGTTTAATGTGTTTATATTGTTTAAGTTTGTTTTCTTAATTTTTCACAGGAAAAACAAAGAGCTAAGATAAAGGAAAAGCTTGACAAGTGCATTAAAGACAATTTATTAGATCTATGTGACTTGCTTGATTTGAATGTGTCTAAAACTAACACTAAAAAGGTTTGTGGTTAATTAATATTCGGATCTATAACTTGAGGCTGCTCACAATTATTCTTTAAAAAGATTACTTTCATTCAACTTGGTTGCAGGAAGAAATTATAGTGAAGCTTGTGGATTTTTTAGAAGCTCCTCATGCAACTACTGATATTAAACTTGCTGAGAGGGAGCAGGTTTGCCTCCTTTTTGTGATCTCCAATGTGCATCTACTTAAATTTTGAATCTTCATGGTAGATTGTGAGATTTTTCTTATTTAGGCAACGAAAGACGAACATCTTTTTCTATAGCTGAAGAGTGCAATGTTTTCCTTTTGTGCTCTGTTGTAGTCAGAAAAATCTAGAAAGCGCAAACGATTTGCTGAAGGCAGTGCATCAAGGAGCTCAGGAGGCACGCCTGCGAAGAGGTCTAGGAAGGTATGCAACATAAGCTATGATTTACATTACTTGTGCTATTTTCCTCCTTTTATGTTCTTTTGAATCGTTCTTTTGCCTATCTTTGTCTTTATAACCTGGTTGTAATAGTTCTACTTGGGTTATGGACTTGAGTATATTGTTTTAGCTATATTCTATGTTCTTAATCTTTGCTTGAACCCAATGCAAAATACTGTAGAAAAGTGGCAAGCCGGAGGGCACTCCGAAGTCAAGCGGAAAGAATCCACAGGAAACAGAAGATGAGGAAGAAGAAGACGACACAGAAAATGGTGTTCCTGACGAGGATGATGTACAAGCGCATTCTGAAAGTGATGCAAAAGAAAATGAATCATCAGAAGCAAGTGATGATGAAGGCGAAAAGGAGAATGTCGATGAATCTGGAAAAGGAAAGGAAGATATGGAACTATCCCCCAAAAAACAAGACTCTGCTGTTGCAGAGAAGAGGAGAAGAGGGAGCAACTCTAAGAAGGTTTCTTCAGAAACACAGGTAAAAAGCCCTGTGAAGACACCATCATCGCACAAACAATCAAAGGCTAAAAAGAATGATACTGCTGAGAAGGTTTTCACCAGGAAGAAAAAGAAAGGTAGTGAATCACCAGAAGCAAGTGATGATGAAGGAGAAAATGAGGATGTTGATGAATTGGGAAAAGGAAATCAAGACATCAAGCAATCCCCAAAACGACAAAGCTCTTCTATTTCAAAGAAGAGGAAAAGAACGGGGAGCAACTCTAAGAAGGCTACTTCGCAAACAGTGGTAAAAAGCCCTGTGAAGGCACCTTCAACCTACAAACAAGCAAAGGTTGAGAAGGATGATACTGGTGAAAAGGTCTTCACTCGGAAGAAAAAAGATGCTGATTCAACAAAGAAGTCGAACCAGAAGTCAAGTGTGAAGGATAATTCTTCTGGTATGTATCTTCATTTTAATCATAAAAAAATTATAATTGTTATTGGTTTCACTTACAGGTGAGATTCTTATACATCTTTTAGCTGACTTGTAAGTTTGGATTTGTTTGGGTCGGCTTTCTCACTGCTTCTTAAAGCAGTTTTTTGGAATAAAAATTATTATTTTTGTACTAGAAAGTTGTTTTAAGAAGCAGTAAGAAAGCCGTCCCAAATGAAGCCTTTGTCTTAAACTTCTGCATGCCTTTGATTGTTGAATGTCAGAAAAGTATTGTTTTGCTAGAAAAATATTCTCGAGTTTACTTGGTTATAAAGTTGATTTTAAATTGCTTTTCATTGAGGTAAAATATTATTTTCATATTTAATTTTAGTTCTGGTTATTATATTTCAAGGTAAAAAACCAGGCAAGGGAAAAGCTACCGGAGAGGAACGAAAATCTGGTCCAAGCAGGACTGATCTGAGGAAGACCATATGTGAAATTCTGAAGGAAGTTGATTTCAATACGGTATGTCTTGTATGCTTAGTAGGCCTATTAAATAAAGACTGGACACTCTAACAGAGTTCGAGCTAGTAGTTAGCTACTTGGTTTAAGTATTGTTGCACAGATAAGGTAGCTCCAGGCTGCTTTGGCTTGTTGAGCTGTACTGATTTTTGTAGAACTTCACTGGTTTTAGGCTTTGTTTGGGATGTCTTACTGCTTATTAAAGTGACTTTCTAGTACAAATATTATATTTTTTGTAATATTTAAGAAGCAGAAAGAAAGTCATCCCAAATGAAGCTTTCGTTTGGGACGACTTTCTAACTGCTTCTTAAAGCAGCTTTCATGTACAAAAATTAAAATTTTTGTACTATAAATATGCTTTATGAAACAATGAAAAAGCCGCCCTAAACGAAATCTTAGTTTGCATAACTCAAATAACTTATCATCTTACTACTTTTTTTTCATTCCAGGCTACTTTTACGGATATTCTGAAAAAGCTTGGTATGCCTTCTCCCAAATGATAATCCCTTCTTTATGTAATATTGTCTGTCTTACTCTAATGAAAGCCATCTCTTTCAGCCGTCCATTATAAGATGGATTTGACACCAAAAAAAGGAGCAATAAAGCAAATGATACAAGAAGAGTTGACCAAGATGGCCGATGAAGCCGACGAAAGCGAAGAGGAAGGCGAAAAGGAAGAGACCGGTAAGGAAGAGACCCCAAAACCTGCAGGCAAAAAAGTAAAGGCATAATCAATATACTTGAAGCTCACTGCACCACTCAAATTCCCCTGTGATCAATTGCTGCTTATGAGTCTGTAAGTGATTTGAAGGCAGTTCCATGCGTGGATTGGTTGTTAGACAAATTCAGGATTTCTGTAGTTTACTCGTGTTTTATATGACTTGGATAACTTAAGAAGTCATGGCTGGTATTACCTCATGAGGACAAACTGGATCATGGCCTTGTAATGAAGGGTGTAGACCACATGAAGATGCATATTATATAATTACACTGTGTAGTTATGCTTTTGTTATTTGGTTTCCATTGACGTTGTGAACTGGTGCCTTCATGAACTTTGAAGCTTCTGGTACTTGTGCTTAACTATGGTGAAGTAGATGGAAAACAAGGGGGTATGAAATTTATCAGAAGCTGGTTTGGATGTTTGATATTGCCGACTTTTGAAAGCTGATTATATTTCCAGCTAATATGTGGCAGCGCTAATAATGATGATACTGAATCGGTAAATATTTGTTGCTACAGAGAATTTGTTGCGTTAGAAACGCTTCAGTGTCTCCTTGAATGCCCGCTGAGAATATCGTTTCCTATCTCTGGTTTCCATTTACATGGTTTCTTAGCTGAATCTGTACACCCCTATAGCTTTGTTTGGGATAGTTTTTTATCATTATTATTTTGTTCTTTAAATAAAATTTTGAATTTAAAATTTATTTTAGAAAATAACGAGAAAGTTGTTCAAATGAAGTTCTAAGTTTTTATTTGAGATTTTTTTTTTATTATTTTTTAAATTATTTTTTTAGTAAAAAAATTTTTGAACTTGAAGTTTTTGCAATAGCAAGTTGCTTTTCAAAAGCAATAAGAAATTTATACCGAATAAAAAGGCTTTGTCTGGGACAGCTTTTGTATT